AATTTCTTGCCCATTGGCAGGGAGACCATTCTATTACTGGACATGGAATTTGTGAAAGGAAGTGGTCAATATATTTTTATTCATTGATGCTGGGTATTATGGTAATAGATAACAAGGACCTAAAAAGCAGGGTAACTCACTCATGTTGACCCTTTGTTCTATTACTCCTCCAGAGATGGAATTAGTATTCATAGAAGGGGAGGCAAGAGGAAGAAATGCAAAGTAACTTACTTCTTTTAAATATGGGAAAGGTCCAGAGTCAGTGTTTTGTTACATTGGAAAAAGTCTAAGTTCAGAGGGACATCTTCAATTTGATACTCTTTACTTAATGGAATGATATGGCATGATTATATCACATGAAGATGGGAGAAAAAAATTTAAATAAGATTTAAATTAAATTTGTTATTTTGATGTCCTATTAATCCTTGAGTAAAAATTAGAAACTTTTAATATCATAAAAGCTATGCAAAGCACACACACACACACACACAAGATATTTACCCTTAAATTTTGGGGAGACTCACTCAACACCAATGTAAGAGATAATTAAAATCATTAGTCTATTAAACCCAATTAAGAAGTGGCAAAAATGAATGAGAAATTATATTCCAGAGAAGCTTCCATCACAAACTATAAATCAAAAGTTAAAAACTCTGAGTATTCAAATAGGAACATTAAATTTAAAAAGTCAAGCATCGGATGATAAACTAAAATATAACTAATATGTAAACACTGGAATGAGGGGTTTGGATTAAATGTAAGGTCCTTTGTTTCCTGTCCCTTAAGGTATAGTAAGGGTATTTTGGCTCATAAGGTCCTGGCTATCTAGTTTTGTGTAAGTGGCTGGATAGAGGAAATGTTAAAGGGAAGCTCTGTCTTTTCTTTCACATACATTAGGACCCTTATGTTACAATTATCCCTCCTTTAGGAATAATAACAAAGGAGGATGCCCATTGAAACAAAATACGGTTTCTCTTAGACCAGAGAATTCCTGACCCTTGGGTAAATCCTAGTAATTGTACCAAGGGTAATCACTCTAGTAGCAGACAGATTACATATGTAATGCAGACTCATCCACACTGACTTTAAGCAAATATGCGACACAAATAAAAATTATAAATTTGTCAGCCTGCAACAAAGACTTCTAACATCATTTATAATATCTCTTTTGCCTAGGACATGAGAGCGTAACTTTTGATCCTGAAACAGAGTGACAAGCAACCATTGGCAGATTATTCTTTTCTTCTGAAGTCCCTTGATAGCAGGGACAAAAGGAATTTCAGAGACACACCAGACAACAAGGAGCTGATATTCCTTGTCCAGAGCCATTGCTCTAGATCTTTCACCTGAGAAACAAGGTTAAGAAGTTTCCTTTCTTCCACCTATGTTATCTAAGAATCTGACTGAGAGATTAAGAACACAGACTCACACGAAAAGCTAGTTGAAGAAGAAATTCTCAACAGTTTTTCAAGTGGAACTCCTTAGAGTAGGAGGTCTTGCAAGACTGTACTACTCACTACTGGTAGAGTTGTGAGTTGCTACAACTGTTCCTTGAAAAGAGTTTAGAATTATGCAAGAGAAGGTGATACTAAATTATGTGTACCTTTTTCGACCCAGAGAATACAAAAACATCCAGAATAGTATTAATTGTGGTAATAAAAAACTGGAAACCAAATAAGCCCAATGCTCAGGCAATGGCTGAAAAAATATGAGGAACATTATTGCACTGTGAGAAATGAAAATAAGATGATTTAAATAAATATGGAAAGATTCACATGAAGTGATACAGAATGAAGAAATCAAAGGCAAAATAATGTATGTATATATGCAGTGATTCCAACAATGCAAATAAAGTCAATGCTAAGAGGCAATAACGTTCAGTCAATTATAATGGATAATTAGAGTACTAAATTATAAAAAATAAATTACACATACTTTCTACCAACAATTAGCAAACTATAAAAATGGAAAGTGACTTGTGCTATCAACCACAGACAACTATACTGTCAGCCTCACTTTGATTTATTTGACCATTTTCGGGAAATGTATAAGGAAGTTTATTTGAATTTGAGTTGTGAAGTTTCTGTTCTGTCAAAATTTCTATCAATAATCTTAAAAAAAAACAAAAACAAAACAAAAATGAGTGTCATGACTGTATAAACAGTTCCTACGCTGCAATATCTTCCCTAAGAAAGCTGGGAATTGGAGTCAAACAGATAATCACCACTAAGTAATCCTTTAACATTAGTGGTTATAAGCCAAAGCTTTTAGCCTGATTCTGACATAGTTGATTCCTAAGAGCAAAGATGGTCTGGCTATGTTGACTAAAATTCTTCCCCCACATGTAATCCTAACATACTTGGCAGGACTCATTACATATTTCTATGGTCTCTAACTTGAATATCATAGGACATCACATTGTAAGTGGGAAGTAGCTGCACTAACAACATCAATAATAACAAATACTAGGATTTACCCAAGGGCCAGGAATTATCTGGTCTCAGAGAAACCATATTTTGTTTCAACTGGCATCCTCCTGTGTTATTATTCCTAAAGGAAGGATAATTGCTAATTGCTAATGTATGTGAAAAAAAAGACAGAGCTTCCTTTTATCATTTCCTCTATCCAGCCACTTACACAAATTATGTATGTGCACACCCAAGTCAGCAAGGTTAAAAGGTCTAAAAGCTTATATGCTTTTTGTAAACTAGTGTATCACAAAAATATACATCAGTATTTATCAAATGTTCATTATTTCCACACTTTTTTTCTGTCCCTGCCCATTACCTAGTCTTATAAACATCCTCTTTCAAGTAGATGGCATTTTATTCATAACTGTCACAATGAATTTTGGCTCTTTGGTATATTTCAGGGTCCTTATTGTTTCTTTTATATCTAAATAATCAACCATATGGCTGACTTCTCAAGAGATCACTCTAGAACAATTTTTTTGTGTAATGGACCCCTTTAGTAGTCTGATGATGCTTATGGACCCCTTCTCAGAATAACGATTTTAAATGCATTGGTCCACAAAGAAAATCATTATTTAAGGGAATATCATTATTTAAGGATATATAAGATGTAATTTTGTCAACATGCAACATAAAAGAACTCAGCTACTACCCCCCTCTGCCATTTCCAGTGGATAGACCCAAATAAACTTGGAGAAAAATCTCAAAATTTTCCATTCCTACCAATAAAGATATTGCATTTTCACAGCTAGTATAGTATTCTGGGGGAAGGAAGGACATCCCATATTGACAGAAAAAAAAAGCTTCCTGTGTCATGAACAATTCAATTCAATTCATTAAACTATCACAATTATTTATTAAGCCTTTGATATGTGCAAGGCATCATGCTAAATGCTGGACATACAAAGATGAATAACAACACAGACCCAAACTTCAATAAGTTTAGTTTAATGTAGGAGATAAAACATATGCATAACCAACTATTCAAAAAAAAAAAAAAGATGGGCTTTCTAAAAGAAGGGGAGAGAGATTCATACAAAGAGTCAGAAAAGATGACTTTAGGGAATATGAGGAAGTCTTCAATGAGAAAGATTGCACATGAGCTGTACCTTGAATAAATATAAGGATTTGAACAGGTGCAGATACAGAGAGAAGGCATTCAAAGTATTAGACAATGTGCTAGAAATGCTAGAAGAAGCAAAGACACATTTGGTGAACAGTTTATAGTCTAGTGGCTGAAACAGAATACATAAAGAGATGGCAAAGTAAAATATAAACTGGAAAGCACAGGTTAGAGACAGGTTTTATAAGACTCTAAATGCCAGGTTAAGGACTGTGTATTTTATTCTGAAGGCAATGAGAATCCATTTGAATGTTTTGAGCAGGAGACTGATGTGGTCAGAACTGTGCTTTAGGAAGACTATTATGATCTATATCATTATTATTAATGCGCCTGTGTGAAAGACGGATTGCAATGGGGAAAAACAAGGGTCAATGAAAATTATTTAAAAAGCTATACACATAACAGAGGATATAGGAGCCTGAATCCTGCCAGTGGAAAAGAGGTAGAGATGTGAGAGGGCCATTGGTACTCCGTGTAGTGAAGAGTGTATCTCTGCACAATGCTAACCATTGTGTCATCCAAGGATATTCCCATCCCCACGATGGGAAACTAAGCAAAAGGTGGGACTGTATAGAGAAACTGATTCTGCTTCCAAGCCATAGGTCACCACGATATGACTTCAGAAAGAACTTACATCCATTGTTTTTAATGTTTACGGTAATTACATTTATCTAAGCAACTTGCATACGTACTCAGTTGTAAGACTTTTAACTAAATTTCTGTAACAAACATGCTGTTTTTCTTTTTTATACCAAGAACACTACAGAATTAATGCAGAGTTCTAAAGATAATCTAGTACACTAAGTTTTAAGTCTTCACTCTTTGTGCTGTTATTTCTAGCACAGTAAGCACAGTCTTTCATATGTTTAAAAACTGGAATCTTAAGTTGTTACCACGTCAGTTGGCATGCACACAGAAGTCATAAAAAAAAGTTTAAATTAACAACTTTCAAACCCTGGGGAGGGAAAAATCCTAAAAGTGCACAATTGTGAGTATTTACAATTATCAAAATGTCAAAACCTCCTAAAGATTGTTCATGAAATCTTCGAAAATGAGATCTCAAAGCAGTATTTTCAAAATGAAAAAGTAACAAAAAAGGCATATTCACAATTTCTCCAACACTTGTGTCAACCATTTAATTTTTTTCACTTATAAAATGAAACAAAAAACTGGACACCATGTTTCATTCTTTCAGTTAATATTCACAATTATGGTGGCTACAATTGCCCAGAGCCAGTTTATACTGAAATTAAATTCTTTACATCAAGTAAACGGTTGCCCACAACTGCTGGCAAGTGCACAAATGAACTAAAACTTCTATGTTTGGGGAGCAATAAATTCTACTCCAACGATCTGCCCCACTTCATCTGTTCTCTTCATGCTCAGAAATCCCTGAGGGTTGAGACTTACTGTCCCTGCCCACTGGAAGTGGCTACTGGCTGGGCCACATTCTGTTTTATTGCTGTCCAGTCAAACGTATAGTCATATTGGTGGTTCAGAGTCTTGAAAAGGGCACGGAATAGTTGCTTCAGGTACAAATAATCTGGTGCTTCTTCAAATCGTAGGCCCCTGCAATAGTTGAGATACATGGCAAATTCTGCTGGGAACCCCTTACACAAACTCTCCACCGAGGTGGACAACTTTTTCTCGCTTATCTTCTCGTACTTTTGTTTCTTTGTCGCAGCGTTGAGCCCCTGCCAGGGTAGGCTGGTTCTATTAAAATACATGAGCACGTACCCGAGGGACTCCATGTCATCCCCGCGGCTCTGCTCAATGCCCAGGTGCGCATTGATGCTGGCATACCTGACAGTGCCAGTGAGGTTTTTATCTTCCCTGTAGGGGATATGCTGCTTGGTTTTGGTGTCTCGGTACTTTTTGGCCAAACCGAAGTCAATCAGGAACAGCTTATTGACGTGGCGGCCGGTGCCCATGAGGAAGTTGTCCGGCTTGATGTCCCTGTGGATGAAGTTCTTGGCATGCACATACTCCACCCTGCTGATCATCTGGTCGGCCAGCATGAGCACGGTTTTCATGGTGAACTTGCGGGAGCAGAAATTGAAGAGGTCTTCGAGGCTGGGGCCCAGCAGGTCCATGACCAGCACGTTGTAGCCTTTATCCCGGCCGTACCAGCGGATGTGCGGGATGCCCACGCCGCCCTGCAGGGCCTTGTACAGCTTGCTCTCGTGCAGCAGCCGGGGCGAGCTGGCCTTCTGCGACTCCAGCTTGACCGCCACCTCCTCGCCGTTGGAAACGTTGACCGCCAGGTAGATTTTCCCGAAGGAGCCGGCCCCGATCTTCTTCAGCAGCTTGTATTTCCCTCCGAAAATTAATTCGGCGCTCTTGGTGCTTTTCTTGCTGGCCACAGACATGATCAGGCGATGGAAGGAGGCGAGGCGGGGAGCCTGGGGCGGTGGCTGAGCGGCGGGGATCAGCGGTGACCGGGATGCTTGGGCTGAGGGCTGCCTGGAGGAGGCGGCAGCGGCAGCCGCAGCGGCAGCGGCGTGTGCGGGCCCTGCCCCGGCCCCTCACCGCGGGCCTTGGGGGGGCGGCTCCGAGGCCTTAAGATCAGCAGCCTCAGCCGGAATGCTTCTAGGGGACGTCCTGGGGCTGAAAAAAGCCGGGGAGTGGGTGGTCGCTCTCCTTCCGGCTTGCTGCCACCTCCACCGACTGCCACCGGCCTGCTAGCTCCAAGGTCACTCTACCGTGGCGGCCATCTTGGTCCTCTGGTTGAACTAGATCCATTTGTAAGAACACGCCCTCCCCCGCCCCCAGCGCAGCCCCCTAGGCCGTAAATGCGGGGCCAAGTCTGAGGGCAGGCGAGGGTGTAGTGGGGGAGGGGGAGCTGCGAGGGGAGGGGGAGCTGCGGGGGGCGGACCATACAGCCTGGGAAAGTGTGCGCCTGGAGGCTGTGTTGTTACCAGGGCTGCTCTGGTTTGGTTTTCTCAATTTCCTCTAGGTGCTCCTGAAACAACTAGCTCACAGAGCTAGAGGTGGGATAGACTTTGCACAACATCCAGCCCAATCCCTCTTTTTGCAGATGAGGAAACTCAGACCCAGAGAGTTAAGTATTTTTTTTTTTTAAGTACTGATTGCTTTCAAAAGGAAAGGATATTTGGGAGCTTTTTAGTTAACTAAGCACTGGTATGTGATTAAACCTAGTTGCATTTGAAGGCACAGATACATAAAGGGCTTGACTAGGAGAGTGGAATAGGACTAAAAAATAATAGTGTAGAAAAGTGCTGCCTTCCCTTTGAGGTACCAAAGAAGGACACTGGAAGTGGAAAGATGGGGCAAGATGTATTATGGAAGTGAACCTTGCTCTTTAACAGAATCATCCCCATTTCTTACTTACCACCCGTTGATTAAATAATGATTAATTAAAATTATAATTAAATTAATTAAAAACATTCAATTTTGATTAAATGTTGATATCTATGTGTATATATGTGTGTACATATACACATATACATAACGTATGTGTGTTCTCATAGGGTAGGAGGCAAAGAAATCTATTTATCCAAGTCAGTGATGTTGTTGTTCACTTGTTTAAGTTGTGTCCAATTATTCATGACTGCATTTGGAGTTTTCTTGGCAAAGATAATAGAGTGGTTAGGCATTTCTTTCTCCAGTCCAAGTTAATAAGCAAAACAGAAATCAAAGACAGTATGCATAGGAGAATATATACCAATCAATCCAGAGTGAAGGAGCCCTTCTATTGTGAGTGAGTAACTCAGTTGACATAATTGGAAGGGACTTAAGAGTTAAGGTAGCCCAACCTCGACCTGAAGCTCAAAGTTCTTTTACAGTTTTTCAGGGTTAAAGGTTTCTGAGAGTAAAATCTGATTTTGTGTGTTTCCACGTAAATTGGGGCAGCTGCACAAAGTGGCTAGAGAGCACAGCCTTGAAGCAAGGAAGACTTGGGTTCAAGCTTATGAGAACTAAGGCAAGTCAAAATCTCTTAGTGCTATGAGCAATCTAAAATAATAATAAAAAAATTAAATTAAAAAAAAGTTTTGTTTTAAAGTTTCAGAGGGGGTGCTGAGTAGCACATGATCTAATTGAGTTTCATCCCCAGGAAGTTTCCTATACAAATGAAATCAAAGGTCATGTCCTCAGCCCTTCCGTAAATTATATTCTCTCCTTTCTCATAAAGATTGGATATATTCTAGGGGCAGCTAGGTGGTGAAGTGGATAAAGCACATACCCTGAAGTCAGGAAGACCTGAGTTCAAATGTGGCCTCAGATCAAACACTTGACACTTACTAGCTGTGTGACCCTGGGCAAGTCACTCAACCCCCCAAAAAAAAGAAAGAAAAAAAAAAGATTGGATGTATTCTTAATGCAGTTCACATCGAAGTACCTTGATGAGATACACTTACTTTCTTTTGAAAGAGCCTGAGGTAGAAGAAACAAGCAAGGGCTCTCAATGCTATAAAGTAAAAATGGGGGGGGGGAGGGAAAGAGAGAAAAGGGGAAGAGAAACAGGGGGTGGCAGAGAGTAGGGGGAGGAAGAGAGAGACAGAGGGAGAGAAGGAAAGTTGAAAGGGAGAAAGGGAGGTTAGGGAAAGAGAAAGAGGAAAAGGGAGGTAGCGAGAGGGAGTGAGGAGAAGAGAAACAGCTCTGGTGCGGAACAGAGAAAGAACTGCTCAGAAATTAGTGACCTAAGGGCACTTTGCGTTGAACTATAGTGAAACAAACATTCCAAGGTGATTGTATAAGATAATCAGTGACAATTGAGAAAGATTCCAGGTTTTACCTTAGGTTTAGGTTATTTAAAAGTATAGTGGGGTTAGTTTAGGCAAGATAGTATTGTAACAGGTTGAGAAAGGCTCAGGTCCCCAAACTTCTCTCCTCTTCCCCCTCCCCCCACATCTCAAGTATGAACAGAAAAAATAGATAGATATGCATATATATGTGTATATATGTATATATGTGTATACACACACACACACACATATATATATATATATAATATACATATAGCTGGCATCTGTAATTAGAGATCCAGCACAACTAGAAATAAATTAAGTAGGAAATGGCAATAAAATGAAAAAGTTTTAGAAAATTTGAAGCAGTGAAATCAGTGGAAATACAGTTAGAAGGATAACCTACAGAAGCAACAGAAAATATAGCAAAACAAAATTAGAGAGCAATTCAACTAGGAAGAGCTTTTGAAACTTTCCAAGGAAAGATGAAAGAACCGAAAGGCAAAGCTGTAAGAGGTAATCTAAAAATCATCAGAATTCAAATCATAATTTTTTCAAGAATTGATCAAGTGAATTTCTTGGAGTTAGTAAAATCAATAGATAGCCGTAGGTTTACATAATTGACTTGATAGCCTCAAAGAGAAAATTCAGCTTAAACCCCAAAGCTTCATCAATATAGAGACTTTAAAAATACTAAGAGTAAATCTGTTTTTTATCAAGGTACCCCTAATTTGAACTGAATAGGAATATTCAAATCATTATAAAATGGAAAAAAAAATGGATTTTGATTACAGAAAACATGGGAAGATTTTACCTTGTAATTATACCCAGATAAGCTAGGATTTTTTTTTAATCTTAAAATATATTTTTGATTCCCCACAACATTCCTTAGAGTTTTGCTAAGAAAATGGAGTGTTTAATATACTAATAAACCAGGAAGCAAATTCCAAGATAATTCCTAGAGAAAGTATGCAGTTGGTGACATTTGTCATGAATGTGATGAATATTAGGTAAAGCTCAAATCACTAAACCTATAGTAGAGAACTGAATGCCTTCTGCAGTTAACAAAACAACAGTAGGAGTGGTATGAACTGAAATTGTAGAGGGAGAGAATAACTGGAAATTATCAAGAATAAAAGGACAGTATGTAAGGATTGCTATGATCTGAAGAGATCTCAAATAGGAGTAATTGTTTTATGAATAATTATGATATCTTGAACACATTATTGTAGTTTTCTGTATTTACAGTATGATAACTTTATAATGTCCTTCTTCAGGATCCTGTGAAAAGAGTGGCATTTGTGTATGATTAGTGAAGGTGGAGAGAGTACTCTCAGTGGACCCTAAAAGTACCCTCAATTCAGTTCTCCCATTTTTGAGACTCCCTTGGACAGAAAGGAGGTCAAATCTGTAAATACTTGAAGAAAATTAATTCAAGCTGTTCCCTGGGAGATCAAATACTGAAGCTTAAATACTTTGGCCACATAATGAGAAGATGGGACTCTTTGGAAAAGACCCAGATATTGGGAAAGGTTGAAGGCAGAAGGAAAAGGGGATGGCACATGATGAGATAGATAGATAGTACTATAGAAACAATGAACATTAGCTCGGACAGACTGTGAGAAATAGATTATAGAAGGGCCTGTTGTGCTATGGTCCATGGGATTAAGAAGAGTTGGACATGACTGAACGAATGAACAACAAAAAGTGAGGGTGGAATAAATTGAGTAGATGAATGAGTTTGATTAAATGCTTCAGATTCGTTCTTATGTAAAAATAATGCCAAGATATAAAAGGATGCAAGGGCAAGACGATTTTTGATTGTGAGCTTCACATATTTGAACAAACAAGCTAGGCACAGGAAGAAAGGAAGAATGAGTAATTTTAAATCCCAACAGATCTATCCAGGAAAAGTAAACAAGTGGTAAGGGTTAAACACTTCTAAAAGGAAAAATAAAAGTTTACACTCTGTAGAGTAAACCAGCAACTGAAGCTTGTATTGTAGAGTTATATGTATAAGTTTGTGTGAGTGATGATGTCTGTAAAAAAAGGAATTCTTTTTTAAAATATTGTGATTTTGAAATAATCTAGAAAATGAGTTTAATGTTTTAGGTATGCCAACTGAATATCTTTGTTTATAAAGATCAGGTTAGATACATTTTATATTTTAAAAAGAGAAAAAAATTATGACTAAGTACAAGGGA